AAGCTTCAATGAATTTACAAAAATCCCTGAAGACAACTATTGAAGGCCATTCCTTTCCCTCTCACCTTCTTTTCACGGACAGTTTTATGAGGTCAAAATGGAGTAAATCTAATCATCTGGCTGGGGATATTAAAGATAACAGGAAGGGATTCTACAGGTACATAGCAAATAAAAAACAGATTAGGGAGAATGTAGGCCTCCTCAGGAAGCTCTCGGGTGAACTAGCTACACAGGATTTGGAGAAGGCTGAGGTTCTGAATGACTTCTTTGCCTCAGTCTTCTCTAGCAAAGGCTCTGACCGCACCACCCAAGTCCTGGAAGGCAGATGCAGGGACTGTGAGAATGAAGACCTTGGGCCCACTGTAGGAAAGGAACTGGTTCAAGACCATCTTAAAAATCTGAATGTGCCCAAGTCCATGGGTCCTGATGAAATCCATCCGTGGGTCCTGAAGGAGCTGGCGAATGAAGTTGCTAAGCCGTTGGCCATCATATTTGAAAAATCATGGCAGTCAGGTGAAGCTCCCGACGACTGGAAAAAGGGAAATATAACCCCCATTTTCAAGAAGGGGAAAATGGATGACCTGGGGAATTACAGACCAGTCAGTCTCACCTCTGTGCCTGGCAAAATCTTGGAGCAGATTCTCCTGGAAGGCATGCTAAGGCACATGAAAAACAACAAGGTGCTTGGTGACAGCCAGCATGGTTTCACTAAGGGGAAATCCTGCCTGACCGATTTGGTGGCCTTCTATGATGGGGCTACAGAACTGATGGACAGCGGTAAAGCAGTTGATGTCATCTACCTGGATTTGTGTAAAGCGTTCGACACTGTCCAACACGACATCCTTGTCTCTAAATTGGAGAGACATCAATTTGATGAATGGACCACTCGGTGGATAAAGAACTGGCTGGATGGCGACACACAAAGAGTTGTGGTCAGTGGCTCAATGTCCGGCTGGAGACCAGTAACGAGTGGTGTCCCTCAGGGATCGGTGTTGGGACCGGTCTTGTTTAACATCTTCATCGCTGACACTGACAGTGGGATTGAGTGCGCCCTCAGCAAGTTTGCCGATGACACCAAGCTATGTGGCTCGGTTGATACGCTGGAGGGAAGGAATGCCATCCAGAGGGACCCTGACACGCTTGTGAGGTGGGCTGATGCCAACCTCATGAAGTTTAACCATGCCAAGTGCAAGGTCCTACACCTGGGTCGGAGCAATTCCAGACACAGCTACAGGCTGGGCAGAGAAGAGATTCAGAGCAGCCCTGCAGAGAAGGACTTGGGGGTGCTGGTCGATGAGAAAATGAACATGAGCCGGCAGTGTGCGCTTGCAGCCCAGAAAGCCAACCGTATCCTGGGCTGCATCAAAAGGAGTGTGACCAGCAGGTCAAAGGAGGTGATCCTGCCCCTCTACTCTGCTCTCGTGAGACCTCACTTGGAGTATTGTGTGCAGTTCTGGTGTCCTCAACATAAAAAGGACATGGAACTGTTGGAACAATTCCAGAGGAGGGCCACGAGAATGATCAGGGAACTGGATCACCTCCCATATGAAGATAGGCTGAGAAAGTTGGGACTGTTCAGCCTGGAGAAGGCTGCATGGAGACCTCATAGCAGCCTTCCAGTATCTGAAGGGGGCCTATAGGGATGCTGGGGATGGACTCTTCATTAGGGACTGTAGTGATAGGACAATGGGTAATTGGTTAAAACTTAAACAGGGGAAGGTTAGATTGGATATAAGGAGGAAATTCTTTCCTGTTAGGGTGGTGAGGCACTGGAATAGGTTGCCCAAGGAGGTTGTGAATGCTCCATCCCTGGTGGTGTTCAAGGCCAGGCTGGATGAGGCCTTGGGTGATATGGTTTAGTGTGAGGTGTCCCTGCCCATGGCAGGGGGTTTGGAACTTGATGATCTTAAGGTCCTTTCCAACCCTAACTATTGTATGATTCTACGATCTTGTTTGTCACACTAATTTAAGAAACCAGAAAATGATAAAGGAAGGCTGAGGAACTGCAAGGGAAGATGTCAGGTTTCATTTATTTAAAATCTCTAACTCGTAAATACCTTCACTTTCCTTTTAGACTTGTCTCTACACATCATCATTTCTAAAAGAGAATCTCTAAGTCTTCAGTGGGCAAGCACAGCAGAACTACAAAATAAACAACAACTCCTGACCTTATCTTTTGGATGCTGATTGTTTGCACTGGGGGAGATTCCAGTCCTAACAATGCAAGCATCCAACAAGAGTGAGCAGCCCTCTAACAAAGCAAATTTCAGCATTTTAGTTTACTTACCACAGCAACTAACACTCCAATGGAAGATTATTTAATCCTCAGATTAATTAAATAATTAAATAATTTAAATAATTAAATCTCAGGATTATTTACAACAGAGTCAAGACAGAGTAACAGATTTTTAAATGCTGATTAAGCCAGGCACAAAACACACATACAGAACATCTGCTGCATTTAACTCCTCACAACCAGCACAATTCAGTTGGAGATGAATCCAGTGACTTCAGTGTGACCAAATTTATCATCCACAAGGTTAAAAAAACCCAACAAAACCCAAACATGATTCTGCAAAGGGAACTGGATAGCACCAACTTCCCAATATATGCAAAGCCAGATAAGTAAGTATTAGAAGTAAAGCACACCTGCGTTCTGCAAAAGCCCTCCCAGTCACTAGGGACTGGATCAGTGGTACTGCACTCTGTCACTTGGGAACCTTGGGGATCTAAGGAACAGAAATTTGGCAAGCCATTTTACAACCTGTACTAACCAGGCAACATTCTCAGACCACCTAACAAAATAACATTCCTGATTTATCTTGGATATATAGATATATTGATATATACCTATATACACACACACAGAGTCTAATCATATTTATTTAAAGACCTCAAAGGGATGAAAGGGGAAAACAATCCTATCAAGGAAATGTGAGGGTAGACTACATATCACCCAAGCTCACCAAACCTTCACAGGGACTTGAAGGACAGCTGGGCCACTCTCCCTCTGATAGATTTGAACCCTGTATGTCTGAAAGTACATGAAAAGTCAGATCAGAAGAAACATCTCAAGATCATACTGAAAACTTGAATTACAGGCTTTTTCATCCCATTAGCATGTACACTTAGAGAGCACCAAAAAGTAATCCTGCATAATCAGAAAGTTCTGTGCTCTTAACTACTTACACAAAGCCCTAACTGGGGCCAGCTTTGAAGTTGCACTTTCAAGCAATAGAAATATATATGCTCTTATCAAAAAATCACATTAAAAAGTAAACAATTACTATTGATTATACTAACACTGTCTGGAACTCGAATAATAGCAGCCAACCTGTTTCTACCTTTCTTTTTGTTATTATATTTTCTAACAATAAAATAGTCACTTTCTAATGCTTAAGGCTGCATTTAAATTATATTAAAAAAAGAAATACAAACACTCTAAAAAGCTAGAGAAAGGGGACTGTCACAGTAACTCTGATTTTCCTTCTCAGTGCCAATTAAAATCCAAGATATTTGTATTCTATCTTTGTAACCTGCCTGAACAGTGTTGGACATGTCTATAATTCTGCATATGAACAACATGAATAATATACCCTTGGTCTCAGGTGTACAGTAAAATACAGTGGTACAGGAAGTGCATTCAGTCAGTTAACCATTATGAGCATTTTTAATTATCTTTAAATCAACAATTATTCCTATAAGGTCCTCCAAACATTTTTTAAATAAAACCTGATTTCCTACTCACAAATTAATTAGTGTGAGATAAAATTAGTTGCATCTTTTTAAATGAGATTTTGCAACCAAGGTCAAGAGCAATAAATATTTACTTCAAGTTGTAAAAGACATTGCTTTTGGATTATGAAGTATTCTCAATTTTTTTGCCTCAAGGAAATGAAGAATTACTTGCATTGTGTGGCAGAAGAATAGACATAAGGGAAATACGGCACTTCAGACTTCAGTTGGCAATCAAACAAAGATCACTCATAGATGATGGTTTGGACGGGCGTTTGCTCAATTAAAGGCAAGTTTTCACACAAACCTAATCATAGTAATAAATTTTCAGAACCTGTATTACTGTTAGGAAATACGTGTGCTAGTGCTAGGAAATGGCTTGACTGCTTATACCCCTCAGCAACCTGCAAGGAAAGTGGAGGCCTCTAACATTTAGGACTAATAGTGCCACCTGCTGTGTATTTTGAAAGTATACAGTGGTCTAGAGATCCAAGTGACTCAATTTAAAGACAGAACGATTGACTGATTCAAACAGAAGTCATAATTTTGTGTGTATTTATGACAATACAAAATTTTTTGTTGTTGTTATTAGTAATACCTAAACAGGCCAGGGGTACAAAGAAAGCTGTTCCACTATGGTTTAAGAACAGAACTGGTGGATAATCCATTTTCAAGTTTATCTAAGCCGTATAACACAGATTAGCTACCACCAAACCACTATTAACCCTATGCACTTTGTGATACTATGTGGGCTCAACCTGCAACTCCCTTTATGAATCATACATTGGTTGCAAATTATTCACAGAACACATATATATATGTGTGTGTGCCTGTGTGTATATATACTCACACACACAGATACACACTCCTTGCTAACAAAGTATACACACAGCAAAACACATACACACAGATATATGTACACACACCTCTTGAGAGTGAATCAAGATGCGCTGTACACAGGCTTTCCCTGAAAAGGCAACAAACTCCAATGTATATGGGATTGGTTCCGCAAAACATAAGCTAATCTTTTTCCTGCTTCCACCACTCTGCTGTACCTCCTGGACTTGCTCATTTCACTGGGCATCTCGTGTGGTGAGGCATTGGCACAGGCTGTCCAGAGAAGTTGTGGCTGCCCTGTCCCTGGCAGTGTTCAAGGGCAGGTTGGATGGACTTTGAGCAACCTAGTCTAGTGGAAGGTGTCCTGCCCATGGCAGGCGGGGTTGGAACTGGATGACCTTTAAGGCCCATTCCAACCCAAACAACTCTATGATTCTTTTCCCAGTTTCTGGTTTTGCTGCTTATCCATGCAATTGTTTGGGAAGAAACTGCCTTGTATAATCTGTTTGTACAACTATGTGTGATGGCTCTTCCATAATCCTGAGGGAATGGTACAGTACAAATAATAATAATAATTTCTGATTAGATACTAACTTGTACTTTAAATGCTCTTCTAGTGAACAGTTAAGTGCTTATCTTTTAAGACAGAGTTCACATTTCACATTCAAGGATGCTATCCTGGTACTTCTTTCTGTAATACATAGTCGGATTGCACAACTGACTTTCACAGGAGGTCATTGAGTCAAATAACGTGACTGGAATTTTAAAAAGGTTGGGTAATTTTTATGACCATTAATAATGTTTGTATTGAATGCCAGCTCAAACTGTGACGAGCTAAATTAAATCTCCTGCCCCAGTGTATACACCAAATGCCTGAAGGTCCAAAGGAGGACCCCATGTGGCAACAACTTAGAATACTGAACAAACAAGGCAAGTGAAGTACCCCTTGCTACAGAGCCCTTCATGTTTGTCACTGCTGAAGGCAGAATATCAAAGTAGATCTACCAAAGCCATGATACATCAGAACAACTCTAATATGACGTGTTTTTTTCCAAGGTCAAGAGAGAAGCTAACTTGAAGAACATCTACAGTGTCTGACAAACTGCTGTGCTTACCGTTCTTTCCGTGGCTAAGGCAGAAGAAGAATGCAGTTGAAGTAGGCAGCATGATTTGCAAGACACAAACATATTAGGAAGGCAAAAACTGATGATTAATAAGTGAACTACAGCAGACTTACATGTACGCCTGTTGTGACTTATCAGAAGTCTATGCACTGCATAACTAGAGCCTTGTCACATGCACAGCTTTCAAAGGGATTCCCAAGATCCACAAGATTTGAGCCTGAATCAGTAAATAATTTATGATGCAAAACATAATTTTTGACAGTAACTGGAAAAATACAGCACACCAGCATTCTTTCCACCCTCTGCCCTTTCACAGTGTTTTTTTATGCAATGCTTTCCACTGCAAGGAAGCCAGCAGATGTACAATTATATTAAAACTACTGTTTAACTGTATTACTTTTTCACATACTACTTTCTTGGGCCCTTGAAACAGGCTCATATGGACCTATTGTGGGGACAGAAACTTGCAACTCATAGCCCAAACACAGTCTCATACCTTACTTGATACATTTTTGAAAGAAAGCGACAAGCACAAAATTGAGGTATAATAAATCCTTCCATCCCACACCATTGCCCCAAGATGTGTGGAAAGAATGAAACTGAATAAAATTTAAGGAAGGGAAAGTGGAGAGGAAAAGACACAAAGTACATGGGAAGAAACCTGATGAAAGATTTCCCTGGTGGAATTACTGTCTTGGGGAGGTCACCATGACAGCGTCCCTTCAAGAATTCACATTGCTACAATAAACCAGTATTACCCAGCCCTTTGTGCACCTGACTGTGTTCAATGAGGTTTTGTATTTCACTGTGTTTTTTGGCAAAGTTTCATATGCTCACAACCTTAAGTCAACATTAAATCAAGTTGCTCAGTTATAATCATGAACTCTGTGTGCAGTAGCTCCAGCCACACCACATGAAAACAAGCTGGCTGAAATCCACAACTTCAGAGCAGACCACGCAACTTTTGAAAGAAGTCACCTCACTTACAAGAAAGTTACTTCTTCATTTATGAAGAATTCAGATGCCTCATACCTGATTTGCTTATTCCCAACACAATGAAGGAAAAGTCCTGCTTCTGCATGAGTTTTTCTTCCTTGTTGGAGCAGATGGTGAAGGCTTACAAATACATGACTGGTATTTTTTCAGTGACTCATACCTCAGAGCAACAGGCTTCAGACTGTGATAAGCAGCCAACAGAGATGGATGTGAGCTTTCTTGAGGAGCAGTATGACCACATAAAACAGAAGCAAAAACTGCAATCACACGTTATTGTTTTTAAAACAGGTATGCTTATATTTATAGGGAAAAAAAATGCCAATGTAGATGTAATGACTGTTTCTTTAAATCTTTAATAACTCCTAGATTTGTTCTTCTTATGCTTAGCTTCAAAAGAGGTATTAAGTGAATTCCTTTTCTGTTATTTTGGGGTTTCATTCTTTTCACTGAAATATGGTCTTATGTTTATACATGATGGTGAAACATTAACATGAATTTGAAACAGATGAAAATTTTTGAGTAAGGTTTTACAGGTTTTATGTCAGTAAAATTCTAAACATAAACGTTAACCTACAGGAGCCATGTCTTTATGTCTAGCATCACTGTATTTGTGCAGTCTATTCTGTAACATTTCTGCTCTCTTCAATGCTTCTGTCAGAACAAGCAATTATGGGTCTTTTGTCTCCTTCCCCCTTTTTTGTCTGTATAAAGAAATGTGTCCTACAAGACTACAGGAAGCAAAAACAAGTATCAAGTAACTAGCGAGTTGGGTTTTTGTTAAAAAGTAACTTATACTAAGAGTCACAGTGAGAAACTCTTAGAAGCTTTGAACAAGAGGTCCTGGTTTTAAAGTATCTTCCCTGCAAATTGCTTGGAAAGTACATACATAGCAAACAATTAAAGGTCTGTATCACTCATCTACCTGCTATGTCAGATATATTTTCAACATTCTTTCACTCAAATGTCTAGAAATTCTTTAAACATATATATATATATATATATATACAAGCTTATTGCATCAGGTATGAAAAGGCAACTAACTTGAAGACAAAACAGCCCATCTCACCAGCTATAGCAAAAATATAAGTTGGTTAAAGAAAGGAAGCAGAAGTTTGTGTACAGATTAAACATAACTAAAGCTTCAAATATAATGAATGTAATCAGGAGATTTTTTTTTTGCAAGGACACCATTTGGTGATTAAAGACAGTCAGACTGCACAGTTTCTGGTAAGTTTAAAATTTAGTAGAGCTGGAAGTTCACATACACATAATCCAAAACATTCACAACTACTGCACTCAACTTTAATCTTCAAACAACCTGCATGGAAAAGGTTCATGTTACTGTTAGAAGCAGTTACATTTGAGGGGTTTTATAATGCTGAGTGCTCAATGTTCTGAAAGTTGATCTTACACATTCCTAGGGTTTGGAAGTTGGGAAAACCTATTACATAGCTCAGCACTTTGAACCTGTTATATGCATCTGTTGCCAAGAATATGTCACGCAGAAATGAACACTGCCATACTGGGATAGCCTCATGCCCTACACTCTTTAAAGTTACAAACTTAAACTATTCAGAAACTCCAGCTAGTACCAAAAGGCAGACCATGTATGTATCAGTATTTTGTATTGATAGTAAATTGTTTCCCTACCTAGAGGTTAAATCATGGCTAGGCTGGGAAGGGCATTGATGACAATAGTATCACCACAACCCCACACATACATACAAACCTCAAAGGCCAGACACAAAAATCTCATGGAAAGAAGGCAGCTTCAATACTTATGGTCTTAAAAATCCCTGCCAAAGGTCTTGTTCCTGCATGACAGACCAGCTGTCCTGCCACGATACCATAGGGGTTTTGAGCATTTCAGATATATTGCACTGCAGCTGGAATGGTAATTCTTGAGGACTTTCAGCTTTGTATATCACTACCTATTTGCCAGAGTCATGAAGTTGTGGACCCTTAAACAGAACTTAAGATCCTCTAACCTCTCTGGGTTTTTGATTGGTGGGTTAGTAATTGAGAAGTCACCTGAAAACAACTTTCTTCTGTTCCTTCCCCAGTAGACACAGACACATTTGTGCTTCTGCCTGTTCCTGCTTATTTGAGAACAAAGAGCAGGACAAGATTTAAAAGTTCCCAGCTATGGGATTATACAGCTGTGTCTTCATTATTTATTGACTAAGAAGCTGGGGGGGGGCGGGGGGAGGGGGGAAGGGGGAAATGTATTTGCTTTAGGAATTAAATAGGAGCATTCAGCACATGCAGTCACAAGAGAATAAACACTGAGACTGACTTGGGAATCTTCCAAGTATTTCCCAAGCTAACTTGAAATAAGATTAACTTTTCTATTACATACACACACCTGTATCTCCAAGCTCTGAGTGTGCTTTAGTCTCCTTTGTCCTGGTAACACTGCAAGAGAGCAGAAGATGTGGGTTGACACGATTCTCACTCCCAGAGCCATGCTGCAGAGCACCTCTTACATCAACCTTATGTGGTCCACCCAGGGAGCAGTAAAAATTCTCTATTATGCTGGTGGTGTTGCTTCATCAGTGGGAGCCAAAGACAGTTATAAAAGCCCCTCCTGTTGTACAGGTTCATTTGCTGCCAGTAAATTAGCTGGATCTTCAAATATTTCCTTGTAAAGATGGTATGAAAGACAGCTATAAAAGGGGGGGGGGGGGGGGGCCCGTTAAAGGCAGCATCCTATTTGAACTACGTTCATTCCAAATTCAGGGTTACAGTTCTTTTAAAATGGCTATCCAGATATTGTGTTTTAGAATATAATCATCACTGTTCTATGTCTACTTTTTCACTTTGCTTCATAACTCCTATTGCAACAGACACGATTCCTACAACTCAAGCCTGTAAATAAGGGTCAGTATTCTGCACAACTTCTACTTTAAACTAGATTTACACTAACTGAGGTATATTTCATGAGTACTTGCAATGCCAACAGCACTGTTTAGCTTTAGTGTAAGTGTAGCTGTTCAGTTTCTAGTCAAGGCACAGAAAGACAGTCATATTCAGTAATTTGATGGCTCCTACATGTAATTAAAGTAGCATTACCATTTCTGTCCCTAATACCTTATATATTTCTTACAGTTACTTTCATACTGTGTTAGAAATTAAGCTACAGGCATTGAAGAAAAAAAGAGAAGAGACCAGATTCTCTCCCACTGTTAACAGCTACTCTATACAATCCATGGAGCAGGCAGATTTTTCCTCTAAGTGATCATTTAGGCAACAAGAGTGTGATAAGCTACTTACTTTACACCATTTATACTTATAATAATAAAATTGCAATAAAATATTAAAATACACGCCTAGATGTTAATGATCCCTCATTAAGAAGGAAAACATTCACAACTTGTTTCATCTAAAACTGGTAACAGTATTTTTAGATTGTTATTAGAAGCTTCAAACAGTATCAAACAAAACATTTTTGTCTTTCAAATTACAGCACTTACCAACACACTGAGGAAATCCCTACTCACCTTAAGAAGTTTTCCTTACAAGCAATTAATTACTGAAAGTCAATTCTTAGTCTGTGTTGTTAATGAGTCTTAGAGTACCAGTTAGATCAATATTGACTCAATAAATCTCCATTTTTACTTGCCTAACCCTAAGGTGCCATTTATGTCCTTAGAACTGCAAAACCAAGCATGAAATATTATTACTCCATAAGCTGGTATTCAAAAGAACTTGCACTATTCTCAGCCACAGATGGGAAAAGTATAGATAAATTCACCTGTGAAAGCTCTTCAGTTGAGTTTATGCTACAGAAATTAGACCCTTGATTTCTGCCACCGTAAGTAACGTGCATAAATGCATTTCTCTTGTAGGTGAACATGAATCTGTTATCCCAGAATCAATGGTCAATACTGTTATAATTAATAAAAAAGTTAGATCAAAGTCATTTACAGAGCATGCTCCTGTCAGAAAGGTCAGACTGGAGATGACCAGCAGTGGCAACACACAAGACAACTCACTATGGCATACCCATCTGGGAATTCATCGTCTGGTGCAAGCCCCTTATAAGGGAGTTACCCAGGATGTCTTCCACTGCAAGAACGGATCGTGCAACTTTGATAAAGACAGACTGATTTCACAGGGAAACAGCACACTACAACCCAAGGAATTAGAAGGAGCTAATGAACTATCTGCACCCAGTCAACTGAGAAGTTCAAGCATGTTGAACAGTTTCAGTAAAGAGAATGGCAGCAGCATTTCAAGCACCTGCCCAAAGCCTCCTCCAAAATCAGCCACTTCAGCAGTTTGGACACATCAACACAATTCTCCTACAAAATGCATGTCAGCCTGCAATAAACTGAACTTTTACCCTTTCCCTAATAAAAAAGGGCCAAGAATTTCTGAAGCAGCAAAGAGGCTTGGATTATATGTCTCAGAATGAAGACATTCAGTAATACATAAAACTTAGAAAAAACCTGAATGAAAAATAGCATTCCTACTTACACTGATTGACCTGCTGAGGGTCTATTACTTTTACTAGCCAAAGAAGATCCTTACTACATAACCTGTTGTTTTATAGTATAATGTAAAATGAAACATTCTTACAAAGATTCTGGGCTGCAATGACAGATACTCACTTCTGTTACTTGAATCTTGAGATACAAGAGCAATTTCATCTCTTTTTGTCTTTTCTTCTCCTCCTTCTTTTCAGGTCACTGATTCCAGAAACTAAGATTTTATCACATCAATACATGAAATACCTAAAAGAGCCATAGCAAAGACTAGTAGAACTATTGATGAAGCAATCAGGATAAATTTCAGCAGAGTAATATTTACTTTAGACAATAAACAAGTAACAAATGAAACAGTATTGAAGATGATTGGTGCAATTGATGTATGATTTCATCACTCACTTTCCTTAAAAAAAGATATTGAGGATACATTCTGATGTGTGTATTTTTAACATTAACAAAGTGAATCCCTGCTCATTTCTATTGTTTTAATGGTAATAAATTAATGCTTTAATAGTAAATGTCACCTTTTTCTGATAAAATCTATAATACGTATTGTTGGCTCCCATTTATCCCCAGTATTTAATTAGAAAACAAAAGTCTGGAATAATTCCTTAGCTCCCTGGTACCACATATCCACAAACCTTCCTTACCAGAGCATTATGCCTCTTTCTGCTGTTACAACTGTTTGTGCAAAAAGGGAGTATAACCATTTCAACTACACAAATATAACTGTAGGATTAAAACTGTTTTTCATAGGATTTAACACCTTCTCCTGTGGCTTAACTGCACTGCAAACATGTTCAAGTTTTTAAGGGTGAGTAGTTATTGCAGGTCTCCCCTTCTGCAAGATCTTCAGAGGAAAGAAACCCTCTTCTGTGGGTGCTGGCTCTTCCGAATCATTCCATATCTGAGCCTTGAAAGGACAGCAAAATGAAGATCAGGCGGATGCCCCATAAAGCTCTTCATGATCCCTGGAAGCAAGTCTGCAAGCGCACATCCCCAGTTACCACATTTATCTCAAAATCACACTATCCACACACAAAATGTGAGAAGAAAAAAAAAAAATAAAAAAAGATGCTCAGCTGTGGTTTATGTCCTTCTAGACACAAACTCTTGTCAGCGTAAGATATCTTGGAAACAGAGTGACACCAATGTGCTAATAAAAGCACACTGTCAAAGAAATAAGAGTATTATTCATTTCCAATAGGAACTACCATTTTCTTTGCACCCAACATGACTTCAAACCATTAATTCTTCCTGTAATTCCACTGGCTTTTGTTGTGCTCGATGGAGCATACTACATCTGGAGATGCATGCACAGATCTGTCAGAGCCCATGCTTCCATTGCAGAAGACTCGTGGCAGTAAGTGTATCACAATACTTTGTAAAGTCCACAAGAATAGGAAAAAAAAAAATGGAATATAATGCTATTTTGCTTCATTTGGTGAAACATTGTTTTCACTACGCCACTCACCAGTTTCAGACCCAAACTCTGTAGCATCCCACACCGATCCAGCCACCACTAGCAGGCAAACGCTTTATCTCCTGTAAGTGACAGTCCTTAAACCAGTGTGGAAATCACCAGCTATTACCAACAGCCATGAGTATGCCTCAGTAACTCCTGAAGAATTTTCCACTCACCCTCAGCAAAAGCAGCAAAATGAAGACATAGGTTTGGTAAGAGGTGCTCATTGTGATTTTTCAGCTTTTCTAGTGTTTTCAGTTAACTGGCCTGCCTAGACTACTTCCCAGCTCAGATGCCGATTTCTGTTCCTGGGTAGGCACCAGACATTAATAAAGGATTATAGCTACATTGTTATCTTACTTAAACACAGACCTTGAATATGCTGATTTAAAACTCACTGCAGGTTTATGCATAGTCTAAATAACTTAACTGCTTTGTGATCACCTTTATACAAGCACTTTGTCCTTTTCCTGATGTTTCTCTAGCTATTGCTGTGATTCGTACTGATTGAACTTGTTAAGAACAGGCCTTTTGCCTTCTCAGAAGTCTTCCAACTTTATTCCCAAGGACATTGTGGAAAACAACTTCAGTAAATTTTTATTTGTTAATGATGTAGTTTTGGTTATGACAAAAGTTGCCATACTTACACTTCAAGAGACTGAAAAAATACACAGGCTCATTGTCTAAGAAGACTCCCCCCCTCTCCCCCAAAACAGCTGCAGTAAAATAAAACAGGGAAACATGAGAAAAAAAAAATAGAAACTTCAAATATTATAAAGTCCAAGTTTTCAAAATCCATTACTGTTAGCTTGTTCATGTTTGGTGATTATGGGACAGGAACTTTCATCATTCTATTACCATAGTTTCTAAGTTACATAGTTACCAAGTTTCAGGCACTGAGCTCAGGACTGTCATAAAAGCAAGTGTGCCCTTATTTTATTACTGGGCAAACTTAACTAATTTATGCACACAGGGGAGCCTGGAATCCTGAATTTCTAGTTCAGTGTCTTGTTCACAAGCTCATGATACCTGTGAGGTTCCCATTACTGAAGCTGCAGTTGACAGTACCCCCACTTAGTCTGTATGACTACCTAATGACCCTATGACCCACACATACCCTGTATGACTACCTAAAGAAGAATGTTTTATGTAAGGACAGTCCTGCAGACCTATCTACCCTGGAACAAATAATACTCCAATGCAATGATTTCAGTCACACATCAGAGCAATTAGAATACAATCCCTCCACTGCTGGGACAGCTGGTCACAGGGAAGAATTAACCCCACATGAGTTAATTATTTCTGGTGTAACCCATTGCAAGAACACATCTTTTACAGGCACCAAAAAGATTCCAGAAACAAGCCCCAACCCTTCAAGGACCTCATATACAAATACAACATTGAGCAGCCTACATTGCACAGCCAAATGTCTGCACAGCTTGCACCTTACTCCTGCTATTGGGCATTATGGGAACCAGAAGTAATATTCCAGCACCACCTCAACTTGAGGTGGCGTTTAGAACCAGACTTGCACATAAACCATATATTCTTCTAGCCCAGCCTCTGAAACCAAGTTAACTTTTGACAGTCCCACAGCCAAGCACGTGTCAACCACTGCTGAAGGGGAACCACCAGGTCCCATACAAGAGCTCACCCCGAACACTGCTGCCCTCAAGGAGCACAGCAAAGAAAATCACACATCAGTCCTTCCTGGCACCTTCCACAGCACTTCAGCCTTTTGGGAAAGACTCCCTCAACACTTCTGGTCACAGCTTTACCTCATAAATTGTGAGGTGCGGCTGCAGGGCATTCAGCCTCCTCCAGGCCCCAACCCCTACTGGAAGAGAGCGCCGCTTCATAGCACGTTGAGGGCCCCATCACACAGAGAACAAACAAGCCAGGCTGAGCTCTAAGACAGCACAAGGACAGCAGCAGCGCGGGCCACAGAGCCACAAGAAATCAACACCGCCACACCCCCACTGAGGACAGCACCCTAAGATGGCGGGCGGGACCCGGCTTCAACCACGTGATGAGCGCCCGCCTCGCCTCGCTCCGCTCCCCTGGGCCTCTCGGCTCCCGTAGGAGCTTGCCTCTCCCCAGCAGCAACCGGCGGGTGTGACGTGGATGAGGGGCCCATCCCACCCCGCGGAAGCTGCGCAGGTAAGCGGTGCGGGGTGGGGCGAGGTAAAACGTAAGCCCAGTTTGCCCGGCTGTTGCTTGAACCGAGGGCTGCCGGCTCCTTCGCTTCAGGACGGGCGGCCCTGGCAGCCCTCGGCGAGCCCCAGCGGTGGGGAGCCGTTGCGTGACAGCCCAAGTTCCCCTCAGAGGCTGCTCGGGCTCTGAGGCCCGGCGTCCGCCGCAGGGCGCAGGTGGGTGCCCGAGGGCCTAAGCGGTGTGCTTGGGTGCACCCTACGCCCCTTCCTTCCCTCTCTCTCTCCTCGCGATGCCTACTCGGCCTAGCAGCTTCCCGAGTGCCCGCTCCGAAGCTGGGGCTAGTTGCATCGGCTGCGCTGCCGCGGTGGTTTGGAGGCGCCTAGAAAGGGTGGTGCCTTCGTGGCTGTGCTTAAAGTCCCCCGGTAACACCCTGGCTTGCCTTCTTGCGGTAAGGGATGGACTGGATGAACGCATGGGGAGGCCTCCGGACACCACCGGATCCCGGGCTGGGGCTGGTAGTGCTTAGGGGTTTCATCCTTCTGTTGACATGCTGCTTCGTGGTTATATATGTGATGCTGGCTCAGTCGCTTATCCTTCTTTTGCGGTGGAGGAATGTGCCATAATTGTGCCAGGGAGCTTTCCTTCTTGTCTTTAGGAAAGTTTAATGCATACTGCTTTATTAGTAAGCCATTCAGAGAATCTGCTGCGCCTGCCGTCAAAAATCTGGGTTTTGATCCTTATTTCTGTAATTGGTTTATGCCATATATAAGGTTAAGTGGCTTTAGAGGAAGACACTTCGGTTACAAAAACTCTCTTTTGCATTCAGAATGGCCCTTGGGAAATGCCCCTGTTTGTTTATTCAGCTTGGTTTTGGAAAGTCCTTTTAAACTCTTATCGAAAGTGAAATTGTGTCACAAGCACTTGTGATGCTGACTGGTGGAAATGCATCTATTTTTGCGAAGGATTCTCTTGCAATTTAGTTACAGTGAAATAGGAATTTATGTTTTTTATTTTTTTATAATTAGAATAGAAGGTTGAGAAGAGTAAGTTTACTTGGAGACTCCAGTGTTTTCTGGTTTATAGTCCAGTAAAAAATTGCAGACTTACAGTGTTTTCTTAAAAGATGAATGAGCAGTTTATAAATGCCATTTGTATCTACAGTTTGTTGCCTTAAGCATAGATTGCAATTTTAGACTTTACCTGGATGCCACAAAGCCATGGATACCTTTTACATTTCTTAAGGTAATGTTGATTAGAATTACAGCTATAAAATTATTCTCTGGTGTAACCTAAAAGTGGGAGAATGGTGGTTACAGGGTGTTCATGAGAACTGCCTAGCTAGGTTTGGAAAAGGGGAGAAGTTGCACTAATAAATTCAATGCAGTCTATTGAAAACTGAGCATGTTTGTTGCTTTCAGGTTTGTAAATACCATGTTTTACCTTGCCCCTAAAATAATAACAACATTATCCCAGCAAGAAAAATAATGCGTGTTTGTTGCCCAGTTAGGACAGACGTGGTGCAGATTACAGTAATTAAACACGAAGGAGTGTCAAACCATCTACATGCTCAGTTAATCCTCACTCCTCTTAGAAAATACTGTTGTCTGCAGCCTTCAAAAATTCTTCATAGCTTGCTAAAGCTGGGGTCAAGGTAAGGTTAACCAACAAGGTTGCCACACATTGGATGTTTGCTTGTGGTTTTCTGCTCTCAAATAGTATTGAATTGGGTTTTTCCAAGCAAGGAAAAAAAACCCTGGAAAATGGATAGAAATGTTTGATTTTTTCTCTTTGCTGTTCCCTTTTTTTTTTCCTGAGAGTTAATGAGCTAATAAGAATGAGAAAAGGAAACCGCTTTGAAAGAAAAGCAAAACTGATGAATCAAATTGCAGTGCCAACCTTAGCATATATATGCTAGAACTTTAAATGTTTTTCTGTATAAATTAAAGGATGTCTTCCATAAGATTCCCAGTGCCCAAAGCACGCAATTCTCACATGCTTTAACATGTACATAGATTTGTTTGTTTTTTTTCTGCTGAAATCACTGCACCCGCCTTTCCTTACCCTCTTTGTGCCTTCCCTGTTCTTGGGGTTTTATTTCAGGGACATGCTGGTTCACTCACAGAGGTTACTGCTTTCCCTGAGCAGGGTGAAAATAACTTGTGGTGATAAATTCAGCCTGAACTCTTACTGTGATCCAGGGAGTTGCTCTGTTGAGCTCACTGCCATCTCCTCCCCATTAATGGGTACTGATGCAGATTTACAGTGGAATTCATCTTTGATCTCATCCTCTGTCCTTTATGTTGCTTGTGCCCTGCGTGCCTGTTCTAGCTTTGCAGTGGGAAGGGTGCCTCTTGGACTATGAAAAGTGGTACCCTGCTGTTCAATCTTTGTGAAACCAGTAGTTTACAGTATCGTTTTATGATACCATTACGTTTGCTTGCTTGACAAATGGTTGAGATTAGGGAGAGGAGACATAGATCATTGTCTGCTCGTGGTTCTTTGCACTCCAGTTGATCTCACTTTGCTGTAGGCTAGGACTTTTATATTATGCTCTTCTGGTGGAGCTTGTGGTTTTGAGATGTTCCCTCCTGACTCTTCTCCAAAAGAGAGCAATAATTCATGTTCAACTGTAGAAAGGCTGTTGAAAACAGGGAAACAGAGGTACAGCCAGGACACATTTTTAGAGTGGAATGGTGGGGGTGGATTGAGCATCCTCTCCAGAGCAGGGCAGAAAAATTGATTTGCGTATTTTGATAAATCAGCATCTTAACAATTCCAGCTCAGGGGGTTAAGAGGTTTGTCTTGAAATGGCAGGGGGCTTCTGGATTATCCCTATTCTGGTCCAGGTTTCATCCCCTTTTCATATTTTTTTTTCCCAATTTTTTTATAGCAGTTTGGACTCAGATTCCCCTCCAGCAAAATACACAGAATGCATTTTATACTCAAGGGGGTTTGTGCAGAATTCCAACATATCACTTAGACTTCTTGAAAAAGTATCGTATCTTTGTAGAGGAAAGCTATATAGAGATTGATTATTTTTCTTTCTTTTCCAATTGTGCTCTTGTTTTAGAAGAATGGCACAGAAGAAGTATTTAATATCAAAACTGACAAGTTGCTTGAGAGAGGACAAAATTCAGCTATGGAAACCACCATATACAAATGAAAACAAAGAAGCTGGTAAAGAGATGAAGGTAAATATTCTCTCTGAATTGATGTCATATGCCTTCATGTCATATTGCTGATACATTTCCCCGCTTTTTCTTGCTGTTTTCTTAGGAGCTTGTACAAAAATATTCATCCAAGTTGAGTATCAGTGAGAATGATACAGAGAATATGTTGGAAGAAATACGGTGTAAAGCAATTGAGCGTGGAACGGGAAATGAACATTTCAGAGTGACTGGGATTGCAAGACTTGATATCTATCTGCCTCGTAGAAAAGTAAGTGACATTGTAGAAAAGTAACTTTACATTGGCCTTTGGAGATCTAGAGGTGTGTATAATGCAAATATTTTCACTTCAACTTTTTCAGGTATTTTTTAGTGAGAAATCTGTTAGGTCTCTAAAATATGGGAAGAGGGGGAACTATAGATATGTTTCAGTTTCCCAGGTACGTGGGAATATTGTGGCAAAGGAATATAATACTAGGAAATTAATAATTCTTCCCCTTGAGTATTTAGTGATAAATTATCTTTCAATTAAGAAAAGTAAATTAGATTAGGTGCTTCTCCAGTTCAGTTTCATTCCTTCTGATGTAACTGTTCGTATTGGCAGTAAAGAACAGATGTATTTTTTCTGCTGTAGAATACCTGAAGTTGAATTAGCATATTAATATAATTGTACTACCACAGCTTTCATTTAAATGACAGCTTTAAATAAATAAATACATCGCTTTAAGTGCAATAAGCAACTTGAACTTGGTGTCATCTTAGGCCATATATGGCTAATTCCACTGTAAAGAACTTCTCTTTTAGCCATGGCATGTGGCACTATTCTTATAGTGACAGCATTATCTTGATGTAACCATTCCAGCCCAGGCAGCTAACTAAACTTGCTTTAAAATGGGTGCATCCAGTGTTTGAATTTGGAAATAGGAAGCAGGATTTGCTGTTGTGATGGTACTCATCTGTTAGCTTTAAGTCAGGCTCCTAAAAGCTTCACGAAAACAGAACTGCCCTTTTAAAGCCAGGCTTCAGCCTCTAGTTTCACACAGAAAATATGCCAGAATAAAGCTGTAAATCTAATTAAATTAGTGTATGACTAGCCTTTATATCAAATTGTGTGGTTTCATCTACCCTAGTCAGCTGAAGGGTGGGGACAGGCTGGTCGCTCTTTGATGGGCATCCGTACTCTCAAGCTGTGAGTGTCAGCTCTGATACTACCTGGTATCCTGCCAAGCAGGGTCCAGCATAATATGAGGGCTGACCATAGGCTGGGGACTGATCTCAAGTGGCACTTCAAGGGTTGAGGGGATTTAACCATGTGGACATGAAGTGTGCTATACAGGTTGATCGTAGAACCTTATCAGGTTCTTATTAATATAGGGCCTCTTACCTGGGAACATTTTCCCATAAAAACAGTCTCAGACCAGCACAATTATCTTCAGTGAATTCCTAGTTTTGATCTTGTGCAGGA